TGACGGTCGCATAGAATCGGCAAATCATCATCGTTGTAGACTAAAAAATCAGTCAAGGGAAACGTCAACTAGAGTCTTGTGATGTTTTCAACAGAGCAGTTTCGCTGTTCGACAGTCATGGAAAGATGTCTAGTCAGTGTGACAAAACCGGCTCTACTCCATATGATTCGGCAGAATTTTAAAGCGCAGTGGTCTGGGCAGCTCAAGACAGCCCGTTTTTGTTTAGAAAACAATTACACTTTGTTTATGTAGACAGCGTTTAGGTGCCTGTCTGGTTTGAGCGAAAAAGCATGAAATTCATCAAACCGTATCGTCACGTATATTATGTCCCTTCTTTAAAAGTCACGAGCAAAGAGGCAAACAGAACATTCTAGTTTCCGCAGTAGTATCAGAGAAACTTTGTCCTCAAAATGCCTCAGTTCCGACACAGTTGTCGATAGCTAGGTAGACGCGTTTCTCGCGATGACCGATTGAAATCTATGAAACAATTGGTTCGCATTCGATCAAGTGTCATCTTATCAAGATCCTTATGGGAATGGCATCACGCTAGATTGCATCAATATTGGTTAACGTAAGCCATAACGCCCACAACACGGAACTATGGCTTTCCATGGTGGTCAGTCCGGATGGGAAAGTAGTCATCGAGTTGAATAATTCCATCTTCCACAACAGTGTGTAGCCAACTTTCTTGTAACTCAATTACAGCTGCATTTACATACTTTCTTCGCTGCATAAGGGCATTAAGATCAACGATTTTACTTTAATGTATGGGTGGCTTCCACATTGTCGATAGAGGAACGCTGAGGTCAGATTGCCAAGCAGCACGATGCTTTCCCAAAACGTTTCTTCATAATTGCTTCAACGGTGTTCCTGACTTTTTGACCACATTCAATGGGGCACGGATCTCGGGCATTATCACATAACGTTTTCAATAGTTTAACGGGGTAAGATAACATTATTGTCCTTGGTTATAGATTTGTATACGAGATGTCTCAGACTTAAGGGGAATATTATATCCACATTCGACGACTCCAAACCCTGCACTGGCTTGAACAACAATGACCGAATCTAATGACTCGCTCGGCTTTTATGTTGACTCTAGATAGAATGATGGTATGTATTTTGTATCCGATGACTGTGATGAGACAAAACACTGTCCCGCATCCTGGAAACACGACAGTTTCCATCTGCTGGGCTCGCTTTGAGCACCGGGATTCGCGGTAGGAGTGACGATTTTCTTCCAGCCATTAGAAATTTGTCTGGCGGAGTTAGTCTTGTTTACTCTAATGGCTGCAGCCGCTCGATAATTTAACAGTTCCAATGATGCTGCTACTATCCAGCTCATAGTGCAACGAACAGGGTGGATTTTGCATAGACCCACAGAAGACAAGACCTTTTGCATGAGTGACCGATGCTGGTCGGCGTGCAGGGGCCGTTTGGCGAATTTTTTTCGCTAAACTTATATACCCATGTCCAATCGGTTTTTAAGCTATGATTGGTCCACCTATACGCTTGCATGCCATCGCCACGCACCGGGACGTTATCGGCTTCATGTCAGGCTGACAAATATTTCAGATTGTCTGACAAACTACCACGCCACATTTGACCTTTGACAATAGGGTTAACGCAGAGTCGTTACCTTATTATGCAGGGCAACGTAAGGGTGTCCAGGGTGGAAAAAAGCCGTGCTGTTGAAGATATTTGGCAGTCTGTCCGCAGACTGACTGATCTTTATCCAAACGATCGTCACCATATTCAAGCTGTTTTCCATGGTGGGGTTTAAGGCCTTCGAAGCAGAACACCAATGTTTTGTTGGCATTGATTCTTGACTGCATCCGGACTACAGTCTGTGGAATTACAGGCGGAGATTGCCAAAAGAGTGCGCCTGTCGTTCCGACACCTACCAATCCTATGGGTACAATGGAGTATCGTAGTGCAGAAACATCCTTCTAAGAGCGCGGCCACGGCTCTTGAACTCAGGGCGATCCAAATATCAGCTTGTCAGGTTTATTGGAACCAGCGCCATCGGAAGGTTGACAATGGAAGCGCATGTATTTGTGTATTGGTGATGACAATCGGTGGTCTGTGCTGGTATCCCGGAGTCGATATCAGACAAGTAGCAAACGTCAATTTTGTGAGTTACAAGGTGGTTGCATGTGCAGCTTGCTGTCTGTTCCTACTGAGATTATGCACGCTTCTAACTCGAATTGCGAGCCAATTGGTGATGTTGAGGCTAGGTAGTTTGTCACAGTGGTAAAATAATACCCTCATTGGATTTTGTAATTATTTACTGTTCAGAATTTACTCAACAGTGTGCTACCTGATTTAGCGGAAGCATTGACGAGTGGATGCAGCGTGATTATAAAGTAAGCTTAATACTGGAAGAAGAAACCTGTAATAAAGCGAGGAGGCGTGTTGCCACCCGGGTACAAGGGCTGATGTGTGGGAAAGTCTCAAGGATCCTTGCCTACTCGTTTAGAAACCGTAACGGAGCTCAATGGCCTAGTGATCATGGCGATAGCCGCCAATCATAATGTGCGAAGTTCCACTTCCAGCAGAGCTATCTCTACCTGATGATTCCAAACCAGGACAAAGCAGTCGGTCGTGGGCTGCAGTGATGCTAGAGAGCAACACCGGAACGCTCCAATTCGTATACCTTTCGTATGATGGTAAACCGTACCAGAGTCCATTTGCTCTCGACATCCAAGGCAAGCTCCGGTAGTAGGACTATGTACCGGTTTGCGGTGTTTCTGAAGAAGACAAGGGAGATAACAAAATTTAGTGGCGAGTTCCTTTCACCTTTTTACATCACTTCATTTTGCTTATGCATATTTTATCTGGAGAACGTGTATTAAGAGCAGACACACGATGCCCTTCAGCACTGCGACTGGATTAGCAACAGTTGCTTATTTATCACACTACGACGCGTACAAGAAAGGCATCGTCTCCATCCGCAACCAGAAGGCTCTCCCGACGGTCTGCAGCTCGGTTACGGTTAATCAGATGTCCAGTGCAACACGGAAAACTAGTTAATACCTTAGTGTCTTAATGCTTATTTATGCAGCTCTTGCTAGTGCCAGTAACATGTTAACTTGATGTTTGCTGATTACTTCTGGGTTAACCATTTTGTTGGTGAACTTGTGTAGCCGGATGTAGGTGCTGACCTCACTCCAAATAGAGTGTGGTGACATGTTGCCTTCAATTCTTTCACTCCCACCGTCGTCTTAAATGTCTCATTAGCCTCATCAAATTATATTGTTTCTATTTAGCATGGGATCCATGTTATACTTGACTTTTATCCTCCGCATTGTGTCCTTATCAAACTTTGCGGCACGAAGTACTGACCAAGTTGTTTTGACACTTGTCAGTGCCTCTGTACTAATGAATGGCCATTCGAAGTATTTATTTTCTTTTTATTCCCCTGTACCAATTTTCATCCATGACCAAGTTTCCGACCTGAGTTCCTCAGACCCGAAATCACGTATGCCTGTGTGAAACAGCCTAGAAACACGAAGCGACCATTTCACCTCATCGAACTCTTTACCACCGCCTTTTTGTGGAACAAGAGATGCTCACTTACCTCTGTATTACGATAGCAGTCGACGTTTGACCTTGCTGGGTCAAACACGTGTTTCGGGCATAAGTGACGAATCAGCACCCAAGCGAAACACACACCTTTACTATAGTGACGAAATTGGTCGCGCGCGCAAGCGCACAAATTGCATCGTTTCGTCTACTCCATAAATTGCAACAGGATTTGCACTTAATTTCTACTTTCCTAACAGTTTATGGTTAGTAGAAACGTGTCAAATAAGGAAAAGGGCCATGAGCCCACTTGTGGGTAAACATAACTAAAGGTTAGCATTTGATGAACTACCGAGGTTCCGTAATCATATAGCAGCAATTCGTCCATAATTCGCATTCGCATTTGAGACCGCGACATCTAATAAGTACTAAGTACTAGACAGAAAAGCTTAACTAGAGGGCATTACCTCCATTTCAATAAATACGCGGCGGTGAATCGTGGGATCAGTGTTCAGAGATTTGAGGATACCAGATGTAGTATAGAACAAGTTTTCTATTCTCTTCTACTACACTGTCTACACGGGTCGAGCCCTGTTTCCCTCAATCACTTCGTGAATGTTGATGCACATGGACCTTTACTGCTAGTGTTTATTCAATTCGTCCAACTAATTTCATTCTAACTGCAATCCTAACGGGAGATAAACAGTACCGCTACTTGTAGCTGTGTTCAGCGTTATGGAATGCGATTCAGACCAGCTCATAGTTTCATCCACGCTCATTTGCATTTTGAGTGAATGGACTGCACTAAGGCTGACGCCTCAAGTGACGTCGACGCAATTTGGTGGCAATACCCTATACGACGTAGGCTGCACTAAGAAAATGCAGCAAGCTAACTGGGCAACTAGTCCTGGAACATCCCCTGGAGAACTTTCATGTGTGATCGAGGGTTTGAGCACTATTTTGGAGTCATTTATGTTGGTGTGAGAAATCCCTCTATATCAAGTTCCGGAAGAGTTCCTACATGCGACAGCAATTTCATCAGCAAACCGGTACTTTGATATTTTGCGTCGTGCTCTGTCGTTTGCTCACAATGTAGAGGACAGGTTGAACCCTCAGTTCAGCATCTTTCTCTACTATTTCTAGATACAACAAATTCCTTTTGTCAGGTTATGTCTCTGTTCGGGCCTTAAACTATATGTAAATTGCTTCTGGTTAGCCAACTGTCTGGTGGTTTCACTTTATATTCTATACTTGTTACTTTAGATCTTGTAGTTCATCTCAGCTGGAGTTACGGTGAACTACTACAGTTTTATAGCTTTATAAAAGGTGCCTATTTCATAAATATTGTCTTGGAGCACCTGCAGGTTTCGTTGCTCAATCGCCTAATTCACTCTTTAAAGTAATTTGATTTCCATTCTCTCTGGTGTGCATGGTTGTTTTGTGCGCACACCTTTCAATCACCATCATTTTTACAGGACGTCACGGACACTCGATCTCTCAACGCTCAGTTCTCAGCCCTGTTGACACAAACCCGACGTTCATACCCAGTAGACCTGAAGAACGAAATTGTTTTACTTCAAACCAACCACTAGATGTGTCCGTAAGTTTACCTATCTTTTTTGCCGCTCATGAACTCTCACATCCTTTCTTCATTTTACGTAATCCTTTTGGAACTTTCATGTCAGTACTTATGCGTGTGTTGCCTTCTTCCCTCAGATTCAATTACCTATAGGTGGCAAAAAAGACATTAGCACATCCCAGCTGACCAGGAAAAATGTCACATAGCGATAATATACAATGAAACTGACTGCGACATAATATGTAGTCTACACAGTGATACCAGGTTCCTACTGACTAAATGATGGCTGCAACTCATGTGAATAGCTAATATTCGCACTGTAATGCGCAACAACACGGAGTGGATGCCGACAATGCAGCTTACAAGGATTCATGTGTTTACAAACAAAACTCTGGAGACTATTACGGGGGAATATAATCATCAATGCATTCATTATCTGTGCGCATTTTGGCGATCTAGACAAATCTGAAGACGATCAAAAATAGCAAAGAATTAACATCCGAGATAAGGTTGACATGGAGGAACATAGGTACATTTAAGCTAACCTAAAATGGAGAGGATGGAACAATCTTCACAACGTAATCGAAATAACTCTAAACGAATATGATACCAAGTCCAAAGTCATTCTGCATAGTCGGTTAACCATGAAGGTGGTATTCACCGATACCAGTGAAGGTTAGATCAAAACACAACGTAAGTGAGACAGAGACAGTGGGTTCGTAGAGAAGATGGCGCATATGCCCAACACTGGTCTTGATGCTCCGCTGTCAAATCCATGCCAAATTTGCATCAAGCTGTTTGTCTGGAATATGATGTGTTCACTCAGTTAGTAGGATTGTCAGCTCAAGTTCGGATAGCGACTGAGTTGGAAAGTAGCAAGAGAAGATGGATTGGCATTACAAATAAAGATAAGTCGCTTCACAATATTTTTGGGTACTTAGTATTTTCATCCATTGTAGCACATCTGTGAACCATATTCTTTGGTATCATATGTGGTCCGGTTCTACTTTAACCAGCGTTTTATTATCATTTTGAACGTTGAATTGTTTCACTTTCACTTAGCAGATAAACCTCAATCATTTGCTTGGACGTACACAAATATTCAGTACATCTAATTTCTTTAGCCAGCTTATTCCATGTGGTTTATTATTAAAAGAGCTAAAGAATGCGCCTCAGATTAGTCCTGAAGCTGGGCAATGCGACTACATATTCAGGGTCACGTATATCGTGTTTGGTTTTTATTCGATATTGCAATGTGTAATTTTTACTGTAAGCCATGAAGGCTCAAGGCTTAGCTCGATGCACCTATCTCTATGTGAAATTACGACTGAATAATCAAAGATATACGTTTTATGAAAACACATTAAACGTTTTCAATAGCCTTCACATCGTGGTTATGCATGCTTCTAAATGTAGGATGGCCTAATTGACTTTTTCTATCATAGTGGCAACGTACAAGAACAGTCGAGTCGTTCTTGCTAGTCACAGGAGTTTCAGCCTGAGACTGGTAAGTACAAACTTATTGGGTTCTATTCCCGTTCGTCGTCTCACTGCAGAACGGGAATCTCTGAATCGGGAAGAGCAAACCGACTTTTCTTGGGATCGGAACTGCCTAGATTATATATTTAATTTGAAGCAGTTGTTAGAACATCATCATCCGCAGTAGCATTATACACGTTAGCTAGAGGTGTAAAAGACCTCAGCTACTGTGCCGCAATATATAAAAGAAAAAAGTAAATACAACGGTTGCATTTCAGATGAGCTACCAGCAACGGATGGCATTGTTCCGGAAAACTACCAGCCGGCTACTAGGCAACAGGAAAAATTATGATGTAAAATTATATTATGCCACGAATGCGATCTTGGTTCGAGAAGGAGGCTAAAAGCGATGGGGAGGGACAAAGAAACTCACAGCAGGAACGCCACTGAGGTCGGCTCCTTGCCATGTCAGCAAATGTATCCAGCCAACCGTCTTCATCGTCTTTTGGACCCCAACCAGTGAACCGTGAAGCTCCTACCGAGGACAGCTCCGAAGTAAGGGCCTTTATTCCTCTCGACCAAGTCATCGCTTGGCCACCCTTCCTCTTCTTCCATCCACACCCCTGGTGGGCAAACAACGCACGTCGCGGACGTCCTTGGCCTGGAATGCGCAACACGTGACCCAGCCATCGGAGCCTGCTGCGTGAAATGACGGTGTTGAGCGGTTCAGTTCCTTTTCCTGTGCCATAAACAAGGCGTCGAACACGCTCGTTACTCCCACGGTGTTCCTAACAGCTGTGAGCCAAATTGCGAAGGCACCGATGGTCGAACGTAACTAGCCTCTTTATGTCTGCTGCTCTAAGGGGCCACGTTTCCCAACCGTACAGTAGGGTCGAACGCACCGCTGCATTGTACGGTCTACACTTCAGGGCAAGAGTGATGTCGCGCCGGCGCCATAGATAGCAATGACTAGCAAAAGCACTTCGAGCTTTTGCTATACGGTTCGCGATTTCGTCTTCGATCCCAAAGGCGCTGATTCAACTTCCCAGGTAGTTGTATTTCTGAGCGACTTCTAGCTGATCCCCACCAAGGGTCAGTGTAGTAGGCGGTCCACCCTAATCTTAGAGGAAAGCTTTGCACTTCGAGGGCACGAAGCAAAGCCCGAAGCGGCTGACAGCCAGCGCTAATGTGTCCATTGCAGCTTGGCACCTCTGGGAGCTGTCACCGATGAGGGCAATGTCGTCTGCATACTCCAAGTAAAGAAGTCGTTCTCCTGGGAGTAGCTCCACACCTTCTAAGTCGTGTCCTGTGAACGCGATTTCCATGAGTTCGTCAAGAGCAAAGTTGAAGAGGAAATGTGGCAGCGGGCATCTTTGTCTCACACCGCTGGAGATATTAAAGGGCGACGACAGCTTGCCGTTAGCCCTCACTCTGCCCGTGCTACGGGCATATGATGGGCGGATAATATTTCCATATTTCCCAGACACACCTTTCTTGATTAGACAGTCCCAAAGAGCACGTCTATCCACCGAATCGAATGCACCTTTGATATCGAGGAACACGACTGCGGTGTGCTGTCAATCTGTGTGACGGTTCTCCAATAATTGACGCAAGTGTTGATGTGGTCGATACAGCCACGACCCCGACGAAACCTGGCTTGTTCATCACGAATCTGACTTTTGGGAGTGCCAGTCAGTCTGTGAAGGATTACAGAGACAAGTAATTTGGTGGCGATGGGGATCAGACTGATTCCTCTATGATTGCCGCATTCCGAGCGCGAGCCTCCTTTGAAGCTAGGAACAGTAACGGAGTGGCTCCAGTCGGTAGGGACAGTTTCCTACTGCCACAGTTTCACTAGTACTTCGTGTAAATCCTACATGATTCAGACAGACGATTGTTGTATTCTTCTTCCTAACTTACTCGTTCGATTAAATCGATTCATTCATTCCTTTCGAAATACTTGCGTAGAAAGGTGTTCCCATGAAATGTGTGAGCCTTTTTAGTATAATATACTCGGACACTGCAGTTCCTTTACTATCATGTTAGATATCCCTTCATTTTAGCTCTTCCAACTTCCATACTTTTCCCACTGACATTGTGCCCTTTTCTCAACAACTTCATACTTATGTCAAATGTGATGATTTTAACGAACAAGTGAGATTAAATGTACGTTTGTGAAAACACTTTGCACCTAGCCGGTTGGTAGCCGAACGGACAAGGCGTCTACCTTTCCACGCTAGCGTTATCGGTTCGAGCCTGCGTAGGGGATAGGGCGACCATTACCCACGCGCAACTGGTGGTAGTTGCGAGGCAGCGAAGAATCGGTACGGCGTACTTGCCTACTATTGATTTCCAGAACACCAACGTGCGCTGTTTAAATTACTGGTTCTTGTCGCGTTCTTGATTTGTTTAGAGCGACCAGGAAGTGTCTACCAAAGCTTGTTTCTTTAACTAGTTTTCTCTCTTTCCTAATGAACCTCTATGGGCGCCTCGATACTACGAGCACATTATAGGTACCTAAATGTATAAACCCTACGAATTAACTTTTAAACATTGCTCCAACTTTATTAGACCTATCCATTTTGCTTCCATTTGTGGTCACCCACTTCACTTGGATCACCCTAACACGGAATCTTAGTCAAGTTGATTGTGGTATACTTCACTATGGATCACGCTGCCGCTGGCGCTGTTTGTCCCATCCTGGCAACTCGTTGGTGGTTCAGCCCGATGTGTGGCCTATTAGTGGTTTCCTTTACTCCCCGTGAGTCCATACTATCTAAATGGGAGAATGGTTGTATTGGCACCCATGATGTCACCGTTTCAAACTTAATCCATGCTGAATATGCCCTCCGAGTGAAAATTGGATGTGACTGGTCATGGCGCAATATTCTTCCCCCTATTATCCACCCTCCACCCATGCGTCACTTCAGTCCTTATCTGCAACGACCCGTCAATGTCTCCTTGAACTGGTCGCATTGTTTCCAATAGCTTTACTTTCTGTCATCATCGTCATCATCAATGCACATTAGCTGAGGGTGAGAACCCCATCGAGATGAGGTTGGATCTTAACGTGGTGCGATGGTCTGTGTGCCTCCGTGATCCATTGAGCTATGATGCACCTTCAGAGCCACTCATACCAGATTCGTCAATGGTTAGAGGCCAGACAAACTCAGCTTCCTGGCGCTCCAGGTTGGGGGTTGGAATAAGGGTGGCTCCTTATTCCATAAAACGGGCTCTCTATAGTTCAGTGCCAAAACCCCACTGTCTTGCGGTAAGGATTTTAAACCAAAGACTTTGGTTGAGAACCGTCATCATTCTCCCGCCTAAGCCTGGGCAACCTGACAGTATTATGCTCACGCAATACAATGAACCTTTCCTCTAACAATTTCTCGATGCTCTGGTCGTCGCAGAGGATAATAAACGGCGCCCTATCTGCTGCATCGATCACGGTGAATAGGGGTATAGATGCTACTGTTCAAGCCTTCCCGTCTTCTTATTCGCCCACTTGCGCTTTTTCATCCTTATCCTCCCGCTCCAACTTTGCTTTTATCCTCCCTCAGTTCCTGGCCCTCCCACAGCGTGCTTCAATAGTCGCTTGTTTCCTAGTTTCAACTCACACAGTCGCAAGGCGTTTCTCCAGTCCAGTCGACAAATCCATGTTCAATCAAGCGGACAACCTCAGTTCATCCGTTTCCCTTTGGAGTCCCCACGTCTCCCTAAGACTGGCATGCCTCAACGTGCGCACTTTGCTGCAGATTGGCCAACAGGCAGGGCTTGCCCGCACACTAGAGACCCTATTGACCGATATTTGCTGTTTATCAGAAACCCGCCTGCAAGCTTCGTGCTCCGTGCCTTATCTGCCATCCCCCACTGGCGGCACATTCTCATTGCGCCTGTCTTGCAATGACAGCTTCAAATGCCGGTCAAGCTGGCGTCTGGATTGTTTCATATCGCTTGGCTGAAGCTGCTCTGATCGTTTGGATCCCAGTAAACAGTAGGATGTGCGCCGTTAGATTAACTGGTTTGTTCCATGCTACGAAGTCGCGTGCGAACAAACGGTGCCCGTTTGTCATTGCGGCCTACGCCCCTACAAGCTGTAGCACTGATTCGGTAAAAGATGATTTCTATCAACAACTTCACTAGCTCCATCGTTACAAAAGAAGTACGGATACTGTGGTGTTGGCTGGCGGTCTCAACGCCAAGTCGGAAAATTGTCCTCTGATGAGCTTCATCTGGGTGGCCAACATGGTGTAGGCTCCCGTAATGATAATGCTGAGCGATTGCTACAGCTGTGTGAAGTTGCTCGCGTCTTTCTCACGAGCACAAACTTCCGACAAAGCACCCGCATAAACGTGATTTGGCGGCCACCATCCTCGGGCCAGCCATGGACGCAAATCGATCATATCGCGACCAGTTACCGCTGGAGAGGCTGTGTCCAAAACGGTCGCTCGATTTGGAGCACAAGCGTAGACCCTGACCACGCACTTTGCTCCGACCTCCGGGTGCGTTTCGGTAGACGTCCACAACGTGGATGTGAACGAATTGACACCAGCCAGCTGGCGAAGCCAGGTGTTCTGAATGTGTATCAAAGTGCGCTGACAACTTGCAGAATAAGCGCCCACTGAACACCATCGAAGATCACTGGTCGCATTCCCGTCAAACATTACTCTCAGCAGGCATCTTCATGTGGCAAGTCAAATTTCTAAACCGGACATTGGGTCTCCACACAGTCTTTGGAACTTATAGATGCTCGCCGACGTATTCCGTTTGGAAGCGAATACATTGAGGCTCGCAAAAACCTCAGGGCAAGATTGCGTGTTAGCCTGAAGAAAGACCGCGAAGCCTGATGGTCTCATGGTGCCTCGGAGATGGAAACAGCCTCTAGCTTTGGTAATCATCCGTCTGATGCGGGAAACAGGCAGCAGGAGACCTAGTGTTAACGAGACAATACGCGACGAGCATGGACAGCTGATTCACGGCCTGTCAAAAGGCTTGGAGCGTTGGGCTGAACACTTTGCAAGGCAATTTAACCAACCTGAGTTATCGCTTTCTTTTTCGGGCATTGAGCGCCGTTCTCCCTGGGAAGTCTCCTTGGATCCGCCCTCACGCGCAGAAGTTGAATGTGATATCAGGCTGTTAAAATTGCATAAGGCCGCAGTGACAGATAGAATTCTCCCAGTTCACTTCAAATTCGGTGGACCTGCTCATTCTCCACCGACTGACTGCCACTCGTGAAAGCCTGATTCGTGAAGAGCAAGCCGGATTTCGTCGAGATCGGGGCTGCATCGATCACATCTTCACCTTGCGTCGATTGTTGGAGCACCGCCATGTTTATTGGCGACCCACCGTTGTCGTGTTTCTTGAAATAAAGGGTGCCTTCGACTCAGTCGATGGATGTGCCCTTTGGGACTGTCTGTTGAGGAAAGGTGTGCCTGATAAATATGTAAACATTATGAAAGTGCTGTACACGCATAGTTCGGGCAGATTGAGAATTTATGGCAAACTGTCGCCGCTCTTTAATATCTCCAGCGGTGTGAGACAAGTTTGCCCCGCTGTAACCTATCCATTTTAACTTCGCAGTTGACGAAACCATGAAAAATGCATTCCGACCTAGGTGTGAAGCTATTTCCTGGTGAGCGACTTCTTGACTTGGGTATTCGGACGATGTTGCCCTAATCTGTAACAGCTCCCAAACATGTCAAGCAGCACTGGTTGTCAAACGTTTTGGGCTATGCTTTGCTCTATCGAAATGCAAAGTACTTCTCCAACATCGGCAGGGATCCAACCCTGCGCTAACGCTTTGTGGTGATCCGCTAGAAGTCGTTCAGGAATTCACGTACCTGGGCAGCTATATTTGCTCCCGTGAGATCGAAAATGATGTTACGAACCGTATAGCAAAAGCTCAAGATGCTTTTGCCCATCTCCACCGACTGTTCCGCAGACGCGACGTTACTCTCGCCCCGAAGAGCAGAGTTTATAACGCAGCCGTCCGTTCAACTCTCCTATATGGTTGTGAAACCTGGTCCATCAGGTCGACAGACATAAAGAGGCTCGTTACATTTGATCATCGCTGCCTTCGCAGCTTAGCTCATGTCTGGTGGGAGCACCGCGTGAGCAATGAGTGTGTTCGGCGTTGCGTATTTGGTGCAGGAAGAGCAAGTGAACCGCTCAGCGCCATTATTTCACGTACCCGGCTCCGATGGTTTGGCCACGTGTTGCTCATGCCAGCACACCTACTTCCGCGACGTGCGTTGTTTGCGCGTTTTGGGTGCGGTTGGAAGAGTAGGAGGGGAGGCCAAGCGATGACTTGGTCGAGAGAGATGAAAACCCTCACTTCGAAGTTGCGTCGGTTGGTGCATCCCGACTGACCTGCTGAGGTCCTAAGGACGATGAGCATGTTTGGTTGGACACACTTGCTGATATGGCTTGGAGCCGGCCTCAATGGCGTTTATGTTGTGAGTTTCTTTGTCCATCCCCTCCCTTTAGGTTCCCCCTCCAATCTCGATCTCATGCAAAACGCATAATATAATATTTAACATCATATTTTTGTAGTGTAATTTATTAGTCTCTTATCTTTTTGTATTGCGGCACTTTAGCTGAGGTTTGTTTCTTACTCTCAGCTAACGTGTACTGGTGATGATGATGATGAGGGTGCGAACACACACCTTACCTAATGTTCCGCAATACAAAGACGAAAAGTTGCTAAAAATTACACTGCAACAAATTCAGTAAGCAAGTAATACAATGTTAATTATCATGTTGTTATGAGACCGTAATTCGAGGGGTAATGTAAAGGAAATTGAGTGGACAATGAAACCTCCCAACACAAACGGCATTGGGGCCGGCTCTTTGTGACACCAGCAAGTCTGTCCAACCAAACATATTTATCCGCCTTGCTGTTACTCTCTACTGAACATCTGCTCTGTATTTTCATAGATTTGTTTCATTATCTACTACATCGTTTGCCTATTCATAATGATTACAATTCTGTCTTGCCCCCAACAGGATATCGGATACATTGATACCGAACCTGAACAGCATTCAAATATCAACGCAGATCGGAAGCAGCGTGAGTTGGATTGGAGTCGTGATGCTGACGACAAGCACCCTGTGGTTGGTAATGCTGAAAGTGTCAAGCATCCTTCCTATCGTGATTCCACTTCTGGGATAAAAGTCACGATTCTTAGCCCTGAAAGACCACGTCCCTCCAAATCTCGAGCCTTGGGGTTGCTAAATGCATTGTTAGTCACATATTGGGGCCCACTACTGCAGACGGGCATAATGAAGCTGATCTTCGATATTATGCTCTTCTTCAATCCTATGTTCTTGAAGTGAGTATTTGTTACCTCGTTGTTCCGCTCTTAATATCTTTTCTCCCTATGTATATAGGCGCTTTTTGTCAGCGCACAAGTTAACTGTCTAGGTTTGGGCAACCTGACAGTATCCTGCCCACGCAATACTATGCATCTTTTCTCAAACAATTTCCTGATGCTCTGGTCACCACAGAAGATAATCAACGGTGCCGTATCTGTTGCATCGAGCAGTGTGGATAAGGCTTTGAATGCTACTGCTCAAGCCTTCCCGTCTTCTTATTCCCCTTCTTACGCTTTTTCACCCATATCTTCCCTTTCCAATTTTGCTTTTATCCTTCCCCCGTTTTTAACACCTTAATTCTTGGCCCTCCCCTACCATGCTTTGATAGGCGTTTATCTTCTAGTTTCAACCCACATGCGAACGCGGAGCGTCACTCTTGCCCAATCAACAAGCCTATGCCTCATCACGTAGTCAAACTCAGTTCATCGGCTTCCATTTGGCGCTTCCGATCCTCCTTCAGATTGGCATGTATCAACGTACGCACACCGCTACAGATCGGTCAAAAGACATCAATTGCCCGAAGGTTATAGACCCTCCCGATCGATATCTGCTGTTTATCGGAGACGTGCCTGCAAGACTCGAGCTCTGTGCTCGCTCTGCGATCCACTTCAGGTGACACCAACATCACTTTCTCACTGCGCCTATCCAGTGACGATGCAGCTTGGAGTACCGGCCTAACCGGTGTTAGTATTGCCCTGAGTCCCCTGGCTGAAGGTCCTCTGGTTGATTGGATTCCAATCAGTAGCCGGTTGTGTGCGGTCCGACTGTTTGGCTCGTTCAAAACTTATAAATCACGCGGGGCTAATAGGTGTCTATTCGTCATCGTTGCCTACGCGCCCACAAACTCTAGCGATGGTTCCGTGAAAGACGACATCTATCGCCAACTGAACGAGCTCCTTCGCCACAGAAGAAGCACGGACACTGCAGTGCTTGCTGCGATCTGAACGCCCAAGTTGGAAAACTGTCCACTGCTGAACTGCATCTGGGCGGCCAACACGGTGTAGGCTTCCGTAATGATGACGGTGAGCGGTTACTTCATTTGTGTGAAGATTTTTGCTTATTATTACTTGCGAGCACTAACTTCCGACACAGCACCTGCCAGAGGGTGACTTGGCGCTCACCAGCTTCGAACGAGCCTTGGACGCGAATCGATCACATGGCGATGAGTTATTGCTGGAGAGACTGTGTTCAAAGTTTTCGCCCGATATGGAGCACAAGTGTAGACACTGACCATGCACTTGTATGTGCTGACCTGCGGGTGCGTTTTGGCGGTTGCACTCGACGCCCCTGTGAGCGCATAGGCACCGCCAGCTGGCCAATCCTAGTGTTCTCACTGTGTATCGAGATAGCCTGGCGTTCGGGTAGAGTAAGCACTCAGCAAATCCACTTGAAGATCACTCGTCTCTTGTTTACCAGACCTTACCTCGTCCTACAGTAAATCCACTAGCCAAAATAGACATTGGATATCTTCGCAGTCTGGAACTTACCGATACTCGCCGCCATATTCCGGCTGGAAGCGAACACAATGAGACTCTCAAAGACCTCAGCGCAAAACTGCGTACTAGCCTGAAGAGAGACCGTGAAGCGTGGTGGTCTCGTCGAGCATCAGAAATGGAAGTGGCCGCTGCCGTTGGTAACCATCGTAAGTTATTCCGTCTGATACTGGAAACGGGCAGCAGGAGACCTAGTGTTAGTGAAACTATACGTGGCGAGAGTGGACAGCCTATCCACAAGTTGTCAAAACGCTTGGAGCGTTGGGCTGAGCATTTCGAAAAGCAATCTAATCGACCGGAATTGTTAGATTCCTCACCGACTACTGATCTCCCTGCTCTCTGGACTGTCCCTTTGGATCCGCCCTCTCACTACGAAGTCGGACTGTTGAAGTTAAATAAAGCTCTGAGCTCTTCCTCCAGCCAACTTCACATTCGGGGTACCTGTTCTTGTTGATGATTTGCACGAATTACTAGTGAAACTGGGAGCAGGGGATTGTCCCTACCACCTGGAGCCTCTCCGTTATTGTCCCAATTTTCAAGAGAGGCTCACGATCGGAATGCGTCAACCATGGAGGAGTCAGTCTGATTCCCATTGCCTCCAAATTGCTTGCCTCTGTAATCCTTCACAGACTGACTGGCGACCATGAAAGCCAGATTCATGAGGAGCAAGCCGGGTTTTGTCGAGGTCGGGGATGCATCGACCACATATTCACACTACGTTCGTTGTTGGAGCACCGTCACATATATTGGCGGCCCACCTTTGTTCTATTCCGCGACGTCAAAAATATCTTCGATTGTGTGGATCGACGTGCACTTTGGGACTCTTTGTTAAGGAAAGGTGTGTCCGAGACGTATGTAAATGTTGTTCGAGCTTTTTACGCGCGTACCTTGGGCAGAGTGAGGGCTTACGGCAAGCTGTCGCCGCAATTCAATATCTCCAGCAGTGTAAGACAAAGATGCCCATTGTCACCTTTCCTATTCAACTTCGCTATTGACGAACTCATGGAAATCGCGTTCACAGGACACGACTTAGAAGGTGTGGAGCTGCTCCCAGGTGAACGATTTCTTGGCTTGGATTATGTTGAAGATATTGCCGTCATCCGTGACGGCTCGTTAACGTGCCAAGCGGCACTGGACTGATTAGCACTGGCTGTCAGCCGCTTCGGGCCATGTGCTACACCCTCTGAAGTGCAAAGCGTTCCTTCATAGTTAGCAGGGACCGCCTTCTGTGCTGACACTTGGTGGCGGTTAGCTAGAAATCGTTCAAAGATTCAGCTACCTAGGTAGTTGTATCAACGGCTTTGGAATTGAAGACGAGATCACAAACGGTATAGCGGAAGCTCGAGGTGCCACCTATGGCGCCGGCGCGACATCGCTCTCTCCCTGAAGGGTAGATTATGCAATGCGGTGGTACGTTCGACCCAACTGTACGGTTGTGAAACTTAGCCCCTGTGATCAGCAGACATAAAGAGGCTAGTTGTGTTGGACCACCGGTGCCTTCGCAATTTGGCTCACATCTGGTGGGAACACCGTGTGAGTGATGAGCGTGTGTCGACGCCTTGTCTATGGCTCAGGAAGTAGAAGCGAACCGCTGAGTACCGTTATTTCTCGCAGCACGCTCCGAAGGCTCTACCAGGTGTTGCGCATTTCAGGCGAAGGACTCCCGCGACGTGCGTTGCTTGCTCACCGGGGGTGTGGATGGAGGATGAGGAGGGCTGGCCATGCGATGGCTTGGTCGAGGGGAGTGAAGGTCTTAGTTTGAAGTTGGCCTTTGTTGGAGCCTCGCGGCTCCTTGGTTGGGGACCGATGAACGGTGATCACGTTTGGCTGGATACACTTGCTGACATGGCTTGGAGCAGAACTTAATGGGGTTTTGTTTTGTGAGTTTCTTTGTCCCACCCTATCCTTCTTAGCCTCCCCCTCTAACCACGATCTCAGTTAATATGCATTGTATGACTTCTTCTGTTAGCTCTCCGCAACGATGTCCATCCGTTACTTAGTACTCACTCGGCGTGCCTCTCACTTTTTTCTTTTCTTGCGTATTGCGGCACCATAGCTGAGATGTTTTACACATGCAACTTGCCCGTATGATGAATGAACTTAATTACTTTTTGTTCGATGTTATACGCACACCGCATATCAGGTGCTATGCTTTTCAATCCTCTCCGTACTCATCGAGGTCTTCGTGCATCGTCTTTCTTCTAAGTACCTTAAGGTAAACTGGGCGACCCTGTCGCTCTTTTCGCAACGCATGTGCTAACAGTTTGCTTAGTTTTTTGGCCTGGGTGATATCCGCGAGCGCGTGGTTGGTGCCCATTACTTTCTGTGGATGCGATTGTTGTGTCATAGTTGTAGTCCACGAAACTGTTTGAGCCTGCAATCTTGGGATCATCATTGCTACTCAGATCTGCATCAAAAGCTTTTCTCTACGATTGGTACTCCACTGGTCTCGGTTGGCACTTAACTACTTTGCTTTCACTAAGCCATCCCATATTACAAGCATAGAACGCTGATTTTTGTTCAAAGATGAATCCATTGGAATTAGGCATCTCCCTTACCGAATATTCATCCCTCTTGACTTTTCCTGACCTCGAACGTTAAGAATGCACTTACCTCTGACTTGTGTATGTGCCTTGCGTATTTGCGTGCATCATCGGAGCTCAAATGACCAATGCTGTTTGCACTTCTTGCCCTATTTCCGAATGTGTGTACTCCCCCAGCCATTATTTACACTGGACGATAATTGGACTAATTTATGCATTTTGCTCATATCTGTGGTGTTAAGACTATCCCTTTCTAACTATTTCCGTTGGACAGTAGGCAGGAATGAAGTACCTTCCGGCCTGTCCGTCTCCCACATGCGAGTAATCATTCTGTACACCTGTTTTAGGAATAAAAGTGAACAAAAAGTCGACCTATGTCAGTTATCTTTGTGGACAATGCCAATTAAGCTGCTACTATCTTGCCCTAGTAGAGTGAACGATTGGAATGTCGTTATACTCTCACGATCCTTAATCCGATGAATTGGGAACCACCCAGACATCCTGTAATTGATCACAAGTGGCGTATTGGAAACAACTCTTTGTATCGCACATTTTTGTATGGTCACCAATCTCCCCCGGATCAGCATCGACAGGTTGCTCACACTTCAGACCCAGCTGGTGGTTCGGCCTGCGTTTAGCCCTTACCGCCGTCTTTTGGGTTTGTCACTTAATTACCTGAGCAGCTAAACGTAGTAAGACTCGTATTCACTTGTTTGAATGCCGATGTAATCACTCAAGAAGTTGGGCTTAATAGCTTGGGCTGTGGTAGGCTATCGAATCGCCGAGACCGTCTCTTGCTGGACGTCCGATCTTCCTTGTGTGTGGGCGTTATGAGCACATGCTGAAGCGATGATGGTCTGTTTGAGCAGAAATGGTACTCGATTTGCCTCAGACGCGAAAAGTTACTCGCGGGTGCAGGTT